AGGGGTGAACCCCATGCCCAGATGGAATTTTTGACTGGCTCATGCCTGTAATCTTGGCACTGTGGGAGGCCGAGCCAGGAGGATCACTGGAACCCAGGAGTTTGAGATCAGCCTAGATAGACATGGGCTCATACCTATAATCCCAGGCTTGGAAGGCCAAAGGTTGGAGGACTGCTTGAGACCAGGAATGGGAGACCAGCCTGGGCAACAAAGTGAGATCCTTTCTCTACAAAAAATAGTTGTGGTGGTGGGCACCTGTGGTCGTATCAAGATAGCAAGACCTTGTCTCTATTAAAAAAAAGAAAAGTAATGGGTAGAATTCCCATCTGTATTGCTTTTTTAACCCAGCATCTCTATGTGAGCTATTTTTCCTTTTTCATCTTTTTTTTTTTTTTTTTTTTTTTTTGAGATGGGATTTTCACCTTCTTGGCCAGGGTGGTTTCAAACTCCTGACCTCAGGTGATCCACCCATCTCGGCCTCTCAAAGTGCTGGGATTACAGGTGTGAGCTACCACGCCTGGCCTATTTTTCCTTCAAATGAATTGCTTAGCTGAAATAAGAGTATTATTTTTTGCCGGGTGCAGTGTCTCACGCCTGTAATCCCAGCACTTTGGGAGGCCGAGGCAGGTGGATCACGAGGTCAAGAGATCGATACCATCCTGGTCAACATGGTGAAACCTCGTCTCTACTAAAAATACAAAAAATTAGCTGGGCATGGTGGCGCGTGCCTGTAATCCCAGCTGCTCAAGAGGCTGAGGCAGGAGAATTGCCTGAACCCAGGAGGCGGAGGTTGTGGTGAGCCGAGATCGCACCATTGCACCCCAGCCTGGGTAACAAGAGCGAAACTCCATCTCAAAAAAAAAAAAAAAAAAAAAAAAAGTTTTTTTTTTTTTGGCACCATAGGAGCATGTTAAAAATTAGAACAAAAAATAATTGAAATTTGTTTTATTCATTACGTAATTTACCTATCTATTTAGCTGATGTCTGTTGACATTTTAAAAATTGAGAATTCTCTTTTTAGAGGTGTAATCACATTTCAAAAAAAAAAAACTAAATCAAATACTTCTGTTGATATTTTTGGTGCCCCTAATTCTGAAAACATGTATTTTGTTAAAACTAAGACTTCAAGAGAATCTGAGTGAGGCGGTTATACAATGATGTTTAATGGAAATTTGCTTGCCCGTAAATTGTTTATTTTTAAAGATGGGGTTTCACCATATTGGTCAGGCTGGTCTCAAACTTCTGACCTCAGGTGATCTGCCCACCTCAGCCTCCCAAAGTGCTGGGATTACAGGCGTGAGCCACTGCACATGGCACCTGTAAATTGTTAAGAGTTTCTCAATTGTTTGAGAAATCTCCAATATGATGACAACTTGACATTTGCTCATAATTTCTTTTTACATTCTATGATCTCTAAGGATCTTGGAGATAATTATAACTAAACTTTATTGAATAATTTGTATGTTAATAATCCTCCACAAGTTTCTCCTCAGCTATTCCCCAGAAGGTGGGAGGTTTCAAAGTATTTGTAAACAGCTTTGCCCATTTCAAATTAAATTATAAAAATTAAGTATCTACTCTGCCTTTTACATGGAGCAATAGCATTACTGTAACAAGACTTTTAGGCTAATCTAGAACTAAATTAAAAAATTTAGTTGGTAAAAATGTTACTTTTTTTGTGGAGAAAGTATTATACACACTTCTTTTTTTTTTTTTTTTTTTTTTTTCTCTTAAAGATGGGGTTTCACCATGATGGCCAGGCTGGTCTTGAACTCCTGGCCTCAGGTGATCCACCCACCGCGGCCTCCCAAAGTGCTAGGATTACAGGTGTGAGCCACTGCACCCAGCCCTTCTTCTTCTTTTTTTTTTTAAAGACGGGGTTTCACCATGTTGGTCAGGCTGGTCTTGAGCTCTCGACCTCAGGTGATCTGCTCGCCTTGACCTCCAAAGTGCTTGGATTACAGGCGAGAGCCACCACGCCCGGCCTATAAACACTTTTTAATTGGTTCTTACTTGGTTCTTACCTTTTTATTGCTGTTTAGATGCAAAATACCATATTTAATCATTACTCTAACCATTCTCTCCTTTATTGATTTTCCTTCTAAAAGGCCTTTAATTTTTTTTTCAGCCCTTGAATTCTTTTTTAGCATGATTTTAACAGAAGCCTGCATTCAAGGTGAGACATGCCATTTATTTCTCTAATTGCAAGACACTTTTCTGAATCCTCTTGTCAGTTGCTCCTTTTAATACAATTGAGGTGACGCTGTTCTTCATGGTGACTGTGTTCTTTATGGTGACACTGGTCTTTCCCAAGAGGTTTTAGCTAATTCTGAGTCTATCAGATTTTAAAATAAGCTTCAAACCTGGGTGCTTGTATTCAAATTCATGCTTCACAGAAAAATGCTTATCAATGCAACATTTAATTGCAGCCACATTCACAGTACTGTAGAGTTCATGAGTTTAGGTAGTAGGGTGCTAGCCTGACTTTCTTTTTTTTTTTTTTTTTTGAGATGGAGTTTCGCTCTTGTTACCCAGGCTGGAGTGCAATGGCACGATCTCGGCTCACCGCAACCTCCACCTCCTGGGTTCAGGCAATTCTCCTGCCTCAGCCTCCTGGGTAGCTGAGATTAAAGGCACGCGCCACCATGCCCAGCTAATGTTTTGTATTTTTAGTAGAGACGGGGTTTCACCATGTTGACCAGGATGGTCTCGATCTCTTGACCTCGTGATCCACCCGCCTCGGCCTCCCAAAGTGCTGGGATTACAGGCTTGAGCCACCGCGCCCGGCCTGCCTGACTTTCCTTATGTGATAATTGTGACACAGTAATGGCCAGATGTAAGTAGCCAATTATACTTTCTTTATTCCTTTTTTTAAGAGAGGGGTGTTCCCTATGTTGCCAATGCTGGAGTGCCGGGGCTTTTCAAGGCAAAATAATAATGCACTACAGCTTGGGCCTCCTGGACTCAGGTGATGCTCCTGCCTTAGCCTCTCCAGTAGTTGAGACTACAAAGAAACAATTTAATTATGCATTGGTGACCTATTTGTGCCATTGGTTATGGTGACAGTATTTTTGAAATCAAATGGTATCGTTTGTAAGTTGGTTTGTATTTAAGGAGAAAATCCACGAGACCAAGTATTTAAAATTGGCTGGGCTGGTGGTTCATGCCTGTAATCCTCGTACTTTGGGAGGCCAAGGTGGGCAGATCGATGGTCAACAGCTCGACCATCCTGGACAACACGGTGAAACCCCGTCTCTGAAACAGAAAAATTAGCTGGGCACAGTGGCTCGAGCCTGTAGTTCCAACTATTTGAGAGGCAGAGGCAGGAGAAATGCTTGAACCCGGGAGACAGAGGTTGTAGTGAGCTGAGATCGTGCCACCGCACTCCAGCCTGGCGACAGAGGGAAACTCCATCTCAACAACAACAACAACAAAAAGTTCAACTGTAGGTTTCAAAAGCTTTTAGGCCTGGAAAGGCCAGAGGTCTAATTCCTTCTCTGTTTAAATATTAAATTATGGTAAACCCTCTGAAGGGAGCAATATTGGATTCCTGTCTCATTTCCATTTTATTCCTCGTATACCCTAGCGATCAGCAAGAATATCTTGCAAATGGTTTTGCAAGATCCTATATAAGAAAGTTGCTTAGGCTGGGCGCAGTGGCTCAGGCCTGTAATCTCAGCACTTTGGGTGGCCGAGGCAGGGGGATCACCTGAGGTCAGGAGTTCAAGACCAACCTGGCCAACACGGTGAAACCCTGACAACTAATAAAAATACAAAAATTAGCCGGGCGTGGGGGCAGGTGCCTGTAATCCTAGCTACTCGGGAGACAGGCAGGAGAATCGCTTGAGCCTGGGAGGCGGAGGTTGTAGTGAGCCGAGACCGTGCCACTGCACTCCAGCCTGGGCAACAGAGCGAGACTCAGTATCAAAACAAAACAAAACACCGTTGCTTAATGTTACAAGCCCATGGCTCTTGCATGGGATGGATTTCTGAAGCCGTCGCTGCTCAGCGGGGCGGTGAGAAGGGCATCCTTGTTTTCATCGCTTTCCCAAGCAGGCGGGGATCCAAGTACTCGGAAACGCCGGGAGCTGGCCGCCGGGTGAGCGGAGGACGAAAGGGTCCTGGCTTTTAGGGGACAGGCCTTGGCAGTCGCTTTGATTCGTAGCCCTGTCGAAACCAACTCCATTTCTCTTCATTTCTTCCACTAGACCTGCGCCTGGGGTTACCACTGGAGGGGCTAGAGAACCGCCCTACCTCCCCTGCCCCTCCTTGCCCCGCGCTGGAGCCGGACCGAAAGCCCGCAGGGGTGCCGACCTCTTCGAGCGGCTGCGCGCCTGCGTACCGGGGCCGAGCGCGCGAGCGTTCCTTCCCCGCCCGGCTTTCTTCACACCGTCGCCCGGCCCGCGCGCCTGCGCGCCTGCTGGGAGGAACTCGGCGTCTCCACTTCGGCGGGCTGGGGGACGCGCGCGCGCCCGCGGCGAGTGGTAGGCGGCGCGGTGGCGGGAGGCGGGCCGCGCGCGCCGGTGGGAAGCGTCCGGCTGCCACAGCGCCAGCTCCGTCGTAGTCGCTGCCGCCCGGGTCCCGCTCGCCCCTCCTCCCGCTCCCCCCGCCCGCCGCTGTCCGGGCGCATGCGCCGCCGGAGCGCGAGGGTCGGCTTCGGGTGTGTGGTGGCGGCAGAGCTGAGCTGCGAGGCCCGAGAGTCAGAACCTGGGGGAGAGGGATGGTCTCTGCACTGGGGGGAGCCGGAGGAGCCGCCGCCGCTGCCGACGCCACCGCCGCAGCCGCCGCCGCCGCCGCCCCGGCGCCCGCCTCCCGGCGCTGACGGTCTCGTACGAAGCCGGCGAGGGGGAGCCAGCAGCGGCGGTCGCCGGCACGCCGCCCAGCATGGTCCGGGAAACCAGGCACCTCTGGGTGGGCAACTTACCCGAGAACGTGCGGGAAGAGAAGATCATCGAGCATTTCAAACGGTGAGTGACACGAGGCCCGCGGCCGCGCTCGCTTCTCGGGCGCCGCTTCCCGCCCGGCCCGTTGCCGGCCCCTCCCGGAGCGCGGAGCTGGTGGGGGGACCCCAGCCCGGACCCGCGGGCGCTGTGGGACCTCGTCAGCCGCTCGGTTGGGCCTCGGGTGTCGGCGGTGCGGGCGGTCGAGCCCCGCCGCCCTCGAAGAGCCCGCGGGGCACCGGTGGCCGCGTCCCTGACGAGGGAGGTCGCCGAGGCTCGGCCTCCGAGCAGCCGGCGCCCCGGGGCTGCCCTCGCGTCGGCCGGGAGCCGGTGGGGTCGCGTCCTTGCGCACCGTGCCCGGCCCGGAGCAGCGGGGACCCGAGCCCGCCCGACAGCCCGGCCCGGCGCCACCACTCGGAGCCGCTCTGCGGGCGCTCGGCAATGTCTGACTTCGGGAGGGCTCCGTGCGAAGGGAAAGGCGGTGCGAAAACAGAAGTCGCGGTAGGCACTGTGGCGCGTCGGGAACCCGGGGAGAGACCACCTAGGACCTCTCCGGAGGATTTGCACCCTGGAAACTCACGGGGAATGGCAGACGTTTCTCGTTTTTGCGGGGCTGGGTGGAAGGTGGTGCGAAATAAGTTGGTGCGCCCGTTTCGGCTCCTTCGTCCCCGGCGGAGGGGACCGCGGGCTCTGACAGGAGGGTGCCCGCCCCGGCGCCGGAAGCCCCGGGTTGCACTCCCTGGCCACCCTAAGACCCTGGTGTCCCCCACCCCTGAATTCACGAATCAAACGGTTAAACATTACAAACCTTTTACGATGAGATGTAGCTTAAAAAACAACCACCTTACCTGAATTTTTGTGAATTATAAGAATCAGTGTTGTCCTTGATACATCTTACCGAGTAGCATGTAGCGCGTTTTCTTTGTGAATTGCCTGTGTACCGTAACGGATAGGCCTCCGTATAAAACGCTTATTAAAATGACGATTGGCTTGGTGCAAATTCAGAGGGACCGTAGCAAATCTGTGATTGTCCTCGAAAATTATAGTTTATTGGGATATTTAAGACCCTGGAAGGTTTCAAGTTTGGGTTTTAATTTCCCTTACTATCTAGTGAGTGGAGGAAATTATGAGGTGTCCTCATTAATGAGTCACCATGGGAAAAATAGATTGCGTCGCTCGCTTTGAGCCGCTTGGGTAAGGAAATGGAAGCAGCGGCAGCGGAGCTCCTGTCTTTTAAATGGAGGATCATTGATTGTGTTGGTGGTTGCTGTTACTGGGGCATTAAACCCTCGCCGCTGGAGCGCGCGACTGCGCGTGTCCGCGTGTGAAAGGGAGCCGGGAATCGTGGGGCCATTCATAACCTGCTCGAGCTGTCCTCGGCAGGGCGGGGGGGAGGTGCGCGCTTCCAGGGACTCTCCCGGTGTTTACTATGTTATGCCTGAGAAACCAGGCGAGGGCGGGGGGAGGCAGGGAGCAAAAATTCACCTCTGTGCCCTAGGATGAAGGGGAGACCTCGGGCTGGATTGGGAAGCAGATGGGAACTTTCTCTTCCTGGCGCTGCTCCACCCCTTACCCGCCCCCCACCTCCTGCCTTCTCTCCCAGTATCATCAGTGTTTTGATGGAAAAATAATTTAGGTGCAGATTATTGGAGTGGAAAAACTACTTAGACGTGCTCACTTTAATCCCCTGTGGACTTCATCTGTAGGTCTCTGCCTGGGAAATTCATTTGCACTGATGTGCAAGCACGTGCATTGCAGCAGTCGCTGGCTCCTCCGTGTTAGGTGCCCAGACGTGTCATTTCTCATTATGTAGATTCCACAGACATTGCATGCCTATGGCAAAGGAGTTTGGCCCCTCTGCAAGATGAGGGGGCAGAGAGAAGAAAGAGGAAATCGTCCAAGGCAGTTTTGGAAGGTTTTTTAGTGGACGGTGCTTTGGTCCGGCTTGTGTGAATGACTTTCTAAAATGGCGGCCAGGACCCACTTTATGTGGGAATCGGCAGAGCCAATCTCAGAATGCACAGAGGGAGGAGGGGGCGGAGGATGCGAGCTGCCTTGGAAAGCGGCAGTCTGGAGGAATATTACTGTATTAAAAAGGGCTTAGCTGGCACTTTGCTCACGACTGCATTCAAAGGAGCATCTTACCTTTCGCAGAGTAAGAGCAGATGCTACTGATAAAAGCAGGCTATTTTAAAACTAAGCAGATCATGTGTCCCTGAAATTCCTTTATTTTAAAGATTTTTTTTTCCATTTATAAACAAATCTATTTATTTTTAAAATAGACAGTACATTTTTATGGGTTCAAAGCGTGTGAAAGGTATACAGAGAAAAATTTCCACCCCTGACCCTGGGATTCCCAGTTCCCACACTTCCTCCCCTCATCCCCCAAAATCCAGGTAATGTCTATTTCTGATTTCTTGTTTATCTTTCTGCGTGTACAAGAAATGTTCTCCTGATCCAGCTGTGGAGCTAAATGGACCTTGTTTGGAGGATATCAAGGCCTTTTATCCTTATTGTGGAATGTATTTTGTAAAATGTGTGATTGCTACTGGGAGTGAAAATGAAATCTGAATAATTTAAGTGAAAGGAATAAAAAGGTAGTTGTACCAGAATGATGTCTCTGCAAGAAAATGAAATGGTATTCACTTCGGGTGTCTTGTAGAAATCACAGTGAGAAAAACCATGCAATACCTATATTGAAACTGAACTTTCGGTGCCTGCTTTTACCCTTTTCCCTAGCTGATTACATTAATAACTGTTTTACAGGATTAACAGGTATACACTGGGAATACATTATATAAAATGTTTTTAAGATGAATGTTCTCTTAACGGTGGTTAGGCTTTTGTAGTAAGTGTTTGGATTTTACAAAAAGATTAAACCAGACAGCTTTGTGGGCAGCTTAGAGACATTTTAACGGAAAAAAGAGGTCAGTCAATTCTTAAAATTTTTATTTTTAAATTTACATTTTGATCAATTGTTTTGTTTGTTTTTTGTGGTTTTTTAATGGATCGTAGATTGAGAGGAGGATGGTGATTTTGCTTTTTTCTCCCCAGTGCCAAAGAAAGACCAAATGCTTAAGACATAATCAGAACATTTTCAGAAATTGGCGTTACTTTTCTTGCAATAATAAGTCTGTTATCTTTACAGTTTTCAATTTGCTGATTTAAAAAAATTAAATGAGAACTCTTTCTGAATTGGGTTTTAGTTAACAAAGATTCATTACAGGGGCACAATAGAGAAAGTCCTTTCCTTTGTATGTTAGCTGGGTTGAAGGGGGAAGGGAGGAGTTATACAACAATTGGTTCCTGTCTTTTACTTAGGAGAGGGAGAGAGGTGTGTGCAAAGGCGACTCCTTGAATTAGAATGAGCAAATAAAAAAAACCCTTAAAATATTTAAAATCTTTACATCTTTTCAGGTTTTAAATACGTCACAAATTTAGGTTCTTCCCATCCATCTCCAGTTTTAGAGACTAGGTTAAAGATTATGCAGGGGTGAAGTGAGGTAGCTCCTCATGTAAAAATATCGTTTATTTATTTATTTATTTTAAGACGGGGTTCCACCATGTTTGTCAGGCTGGTCATGAACTCCCGACCTCAGGTGATCCGCCTGCCTTGGCCTCCAAAGTGCTTGGATTACAGGCGTGAGCCACCATGCCCGGCCAAAATATCGTTTAAAGAATGAGGCCCAGGCCGGGTGCATTGGCTCACTACTGTAATCCCAGCACTTTGGGAGGCTGTGGCGGGCGAATCACCAGGTCAGGAGTTTGAGACCATCCAGGCCGACGTGGTGAAACCCCATCTCTATTAAAATACCAAAAATTAGCTGTGTGTGGTGGCCTGCACCTGTAGTCCCATCTACTGAGGAGGCTGAGGCAGGGGAATCACTTGAATCGCAGAGGCGGAGGTTGCAGTGAGCAGAGATTGCACCAACTGCACTCCAGCCTGGGAGACAGAGCAAGACTCCATCTCAAAAAAAAAAAAAGCAGGGCGTGGTGTGAGTGCCTGTAATCCCAGCTACTGGCGAGGCTGAGGCAGGAAAATCCCTTGAACCCGGGAATTGGAGGTTGCAGTGACCCGAGATCATGCCACTGCACCCTAGCCTGGGTGACAGAGCAAGACTCTGTCTTGGGGGTGGGGGCAAGAATGAGACCCATTTAAAAATGTAATTTGTTCTCTCTGAATTTAAATGATCACAGTGGTTTTCCTGAGTTTAAATAGATGGAATAATTATTACATTTTATGTATATTCAGATATATTTATCTCTGGGACCCAATATAAAATATTGAATTTCCTTGTCCTGACTACTAGGGATATTTTTAGACTTAAGCAAATTTGACTCACTGTAGCCTGTATCATTGTTACATCGTTTCTTCATTTGAGACCAGAAGGTTTCTATGAAACCACTTGTTGTCTATGGCCATACCATCCTTACCATGCCCCATCCCGTCTGTGAAACCACCTCTGGTTTTGAATATTATGATTTTGAATATCTATTTTCATAATATACTTTTGCACATTTTAAAAATAAAACAAGAATCAGAGCTATCTTGAAACAACATTTAAAATTATACAGAATAATTATATAAGCAATACAGAATGATACAGATAAATTATACAGAATAATGACACAAAATAATATAGAATAATAAAATGTATTTTGTTTACCGAAAGGGATGCCCTTGGCAGATTGAAGGAAAATATAGGGCTCAGTGCCAGGAAGAATGGTAGTGTTTCACTTGTGTAGAGGGCACCTTTTTCTAACTATCTTTGTTGTAGACTCTTGATTGCTGGGATTGTATTGTTTGGTATGCTTATGAAGAGGTTTCAGGCTTGATTTATGAGACATTTTAAATCCTGGAAACACTAATCCTTTGGGAAAGTTTATGTAGGAGGTTTTTTCAAATAGTCTTTCAAGTTTCCCTTTCCCCCTAGTTTGAAATTTTACTGAAAAAAATTTTTTTTTTTTTTCCTTGGGACGGAGTTTCGCTCTTTTTACCAGGCTGGAGTGCAATGGCGTGATCTTGG